AAAAAAAAAAAAGCAAAATCCAATGAATCTTCGGCTAGAACATGGAAATATACAATACTATTTGTGTGTGTGTGTGTGTGTGTGTGTGTGTGTGTGTGTGTGTGTGTGTGTGTGTGCGCGTGTGGTGGGTGGCGGGGGGGTTGGGCGACCCCTCCCCCACCAATCAATCAATCAATCAATCAATCAATCAACGAAAAAAAGAAAAAGAAAAAGCGAATGAATCTTCGGCTAGAACATGGAAATATACAATACTATATGTGTGTGTGTGTGTGTCACAGTGTGGGCACGAATCATTTTTTTCGAAACATAAGCAGGAAAGAAGGAAAGCATCCAGTAATGTGATTAAAATCGAAATGCGAGCCATTCACTTCGTACGAAAGGAAACAGGCATCTTTCCAGCAGAGTCAATAGTTTATGCATACGTTTTCTCGCTGCTCTTACTCATATCTTCTCGTATTATCTCCACATTTGGAAATAGGCGAGATCATACGATTAGGAGGAAAGCGATTTCCGTAGAATGAGTACGAATCATTTCGAAACATAAGCAGGAAAGAAGGAAGGAAAGCATCCAGCAATACGATTTACATCGAAATGCGGGTCATTCACTTCATACGAAAGGGAACACGCATCTTTCCAGCAGAGTTAAAAGTTTATGTCTACGTTTTTCTCGCTGCTCTTACTCATATCTTCTCGTATTATCTCCATATTTGGAAATAGGCGAGATCATACGACTAGGAGGAAAGCGATTTTCGTACAGTGAGAACGAATCATTTCGAAACATAAGCAGGAAAGAAGGAAGGAAAGTATCTAGCAATGCGATTAAAATTGAATGCGAGCCATTTATTTCGTACGAAAGGAAACAAGCATCCATACAATTGCGTATAGATCCAGGGAGAGAAACAAGGAAAAAGGAAAAGGCACTCGCGTACAATCACTTATGCGATGTTCCAAATGAAGTATCAATCCAAAAAAAATTGACTCCCATTAGTAACCATGCTTAGCATGTGAAGCTAAGGAGTTCGACTACGCAAATTCGCCATCAATCGTGTCCAAACCAGACTATCCTACAGAAAAATTGAAAAAAAGGTCAGAGATCTTCTGAGCATGCTGTGATCATTGTCATGGGGGGTTCGGGTGGGGAGGAGGAGGGGAAGGGGGGAGGGGAAGATGGTATGGAAAAAGAACCCGCATCAAGCCTTTTACAAGACTTCGAGATGACGCATCTGTATGCTTATGTTCGATTGGCCAAGTCGAGAGAGGGTGTGGCAGTTCCCTGAGGCCTTTCTGCTGCGCCACTAACAGTTTCATCAGAGGGGCATCTCTCCCTTCCGGAGGATGCGTGTGGAAGTGGGATGGAGAGGGTAGTAGGAGTTTTAGCGCGGGGGGGGGGGTTGTGTGGGGTATGTCGGGGGAGTGGTGCGCATTCTGAGGCGATGAGGGTTTGTGTTCAGCGTATTGCAGAGCTGCTGCGTGCTCAGTGCCGCCATAGGGACATGTTGCATGCGGAGGTTGGGGTAAGGAGACGATGAAGAATGTAAATGCTAAAAATGCGAGAAAGGCAAAAAAGGCTAGGAGACTGCATATTGCTCCTTCGTGCACAGCGCCGCACCCTTCCCTTTCCATCCTGCTAATGCTCACGTTCTGGCTGCTGCGAGTGTGGTAGTGATTAGGCTTATCGCATACACGCAGGCGCTGGTGGTTATTCCGGTCAAGCTTGCTATGCCGACAAGCGCGCTTAGATAGGCTGCTTGCTTCCTGAGTGGAACCAGCAATATTTTCTCCGATAAGCACCGCTTGAGTAGGATGCAAAGGAGAAGTAGGTTCGAGCTAAGCGCTAGGCAGAGGATCGCGGTGAGTGCGGTTATAAGCGCATGCGAGAAGATAGTGGTTTGCGCGAGAGGCAGGAAGAAAAGAAGGGGGAAGGCCGGAGGAGAAGGGGCCGGAGGTAGAGGAGGAGGACACTTCGAACGGTCGGGTACGTGGGATGGTGTCGGACACTCCATGCCTATCGACTTAGAGTAGTACCGTTTCCTGATCGCGCTCTTCTCTTCTGGCCGCGATTGCATCCAAGTCCAAAGAAAAGTCCATGGTTCCTGCCGTCGCCTGCCGAAAAAATGCCTCGTCCAGAAGATCGCTTGACAGTGTCCCGCCTCCGAAATTGCCGATTGATCTCCGTAATTCACTCTGACAATGATGCTTGGCTTCACCACTCTCCTCAGCTAAATAGTACTCCTACCTTCTACTCGCTGCTCTTGCTATTGTTGTCTGACTGCTAACCCCGCCAAATCGTCCATAGTGAAGGCGCTTGCCTACCTCGATATCTTCCGAGGTGTGCATTAACTCAAGCCTGTTTCCGTCCTTACTTTTTGGCTTAGTGTAGCTTAGCGGCCTTATTCTGGACTTCGCGTCTCGACACTTCTGAAAAACGACAAAAGAAAGGAAAAAAAGGAAAAAAAGGTAAGCAGGGAAAAAGGAAAGAAAAGGAAGGGAAAGAAAAAGCGGGGGAAAAAAGGGGGAAGAGAAAGAAAAAACAAGAAAAGAAAAAAAGAAAAAAGGAAAGAAGAAAAAAGAAGAAAGAAAAAAGAAAAAAAGGCAAAAGAAAAAAGAAAAAAAAAAGGAAAAAAGTGCGTGCGAGAGAGGCGCATTGCCACAACGAGTTCGAATGCCCCTTTCGAGTCGTGAGGAGCCTGGTGTCTTGGAGCTTTTCTGTTCTTCAAGGTTGTCATCCTTGCCCTGGCTCTTCCTTGGTGTCAGCCTCTCTATCTATGTTCGATCTGTGCGTGTGTGTGTGTGTGTGTGTGTGTGTGTGTGTGTGTGTGTATGCGTGTGGGGGGTAGGGGG